TGACCTCTGTCAGCTGTGGGGCCCTCAACCTCTCTGAGCCTTAGTAATCTGGGATGCAAAATGGGGATAATAAGATCTACTTAGGACCTTGCTACTTAAGGAGTGTTCCGACCCGCAGCCTCAGCATCCCAGTCCTCCTGGGCCAGAACACACTTTTTTTTTTTTTTTTGTACTAAAATTGAACCCAGGGTGCTTAACCACTGAGCCACACCCCTAGCCCTTTTTTAATATTTTATTTTGAGACGGGGTCTGGCTGAGTTGCTAAGTGCCCTGATAAGTTGCTGAGGCTGGCTTTGAACTCGTGATCCTCCTGCCTCAGCTTCCCTAGCCCCTGGGATCAGAACCCACGTATTAAGCTGCTGGAAGGTGATTTATGGAGACTTTGCCTGGGCAGGTAGCTCAGCAGTGGACCTTGCCTAGCACGCACAAAGCCCGGGGTTGGAACCCAGCGCTGCAAAAACAACACAGGTTTAGAAGCACTGTTCTGGAGGACTTTGAAGACTGATGAGACAGTCAATCTTAAACTTCTACTAGAACTTTATAATGAATAGGTATGTAACGTCTGTAACAGACCCCGGCATGTGAACGCCCTAGATAAGGCCTTTCCCTCCTTACCCAGAGGAAACCAAGGCTCAGGCTATTTGGTCACTTTGTTAAAACAGCAAAGTGCGGGGGCACCCCCACGGTGTTTGGGGAGGGCAAAGAGGAGGTTCCTAGAGACTTGAAGGCCGGGACACAAAACGGCCATTCCAGGAGGAAGGGTGGCCCAGCCTCCCACGGGACACCACTTAGCTTCAAGGGAGGGAGGGGACCCGGTGCTGTTGACAATCCCACAGACAAACATGCTCACCTGGCGTTCCTCCACAAATGCTCTCGTGAAGCCCTACTGTGTGCTCGGTACTGGGCATCACAGAGGTGACCCTATCGCTGGTGGAGCTGACAATGACAATTTAGAATCTCAAGAGGAGGATCAGGGCTGAGAAGAGGACAGGGAGGGGAGGGGGACAGAGGAGGGGGGACAGGGGAAGGTTTCGAGGAGAGAGGAGGGCAAGGAAGATGGGAAGATTTTGGAATAAACCAAAGAGATGATTGACACTCCTTTCAATGACATGCTGCACCCAGGGATTGTCTGGTCCTGTGTCCCCGACAGGCTCTTCTTCCCCTTAGACTATTTCAAGGCTCTGTACGTTGCAGTAAAGAAGAGTGACGCAAGGAACCTGATCTATATACCTGCAAATAGATCCCAGCCAGCGGGTGTTGTCACAGAGCCTTGAAATAGCCTTTAAGATTATAAACACCAAGAAAAAATGAAGAAAAATGTAAGCCCCAGAGGGACGTGGTGGCAAAGGACAGAAAACTGGAGGCTGGGCTCAGCGATTAGCAAGACTCTGCCTCAAAATTTGAAAAACAGGCTGGGCTGTGACTCAGAGGTAGAGCGCTCACCCAGCATGTGTGAGGCTGGGTTCCACCCTCAGCACCATATAAAAAAATTTAAAAATAAAGATATCGTGTCCATCTACAACTAAAAAAGAAATCTTTAAAAGAATTGAAAAACAGATTTAAAAATGCTGGGGGTAAAGCTCAGTGGTAGATTACACTTGGGTTCAATCCTGAGTACCACACACAAACAAATAAATAAGAAAAAGAAAATTAAAGTCTCCATCTCCCCAATTTCCTGATCAATTTTTTTTTCCCCTGCAACAAACTTTCCTCATGCTGAGAAAGGAAACTAGGGAACTGGCCCCAAAGCCTGGGCAGGCGCCCTGCCACCAAGAGTCAAAAAACTGACCAGATACAGTGGTGCACACCTGTAATCCCAGCAGCTCTGGAGGCTGAGCAGGAGGATCAGGAGTTCAAAGCCAGCCTCAGCAAAAGTGAGGCACCAAGCAACTTAGTGAGACCCTGTCTCTAAATACACACACACACTGGGGAGTGCCTCAGTGATTGTGTGTCCCTGAGTTCAACCCCAGTACCCCTCCTGCTCCCAAAAAACGAATCAACTTAATCTTCTTTCAAAATGTACTTTTAAAATAAGAGTTAGCCATGCTGGGAAGCCCAGGGATGTGCCTGGATGTAGCTCGAAGTCCCTGTGGGCCTCAAACTCCTGGAGGTCACTGGAGGGTACTATTGGTGGGATGACCGTGGTCTGATTTACAGTGTCAATAAAACCTCTCTGGGGACTGAGGTTGTGGCTCAGTCGGTAGAGCACTTGCCTAGCATGTGTGAGGCTCTGGGTTTGATTCTCAGCACCACATCTAAACAAATAAATAAATAAAGGCCCATCAATAGCTAATAAATAAGTAAATAAAACCCCTCTGGGTGCTGGGTCAGGATTCCGGGGGCGAGAGGAGCACAGTGGGTGCCGCAGTCACTGGACGCTGGGAGAGAAGAGTGGTTGGTTCTCTCCCCTGATGGCGTGTCAGGGGCTGGTGCAGGAGTCCAGCGGGAGGAGGACAGGGCTCGGGTGTGGTGGGCTAAGTGAGGAAGCCACCAGTTTCCCTGAGCAGCAAGTGAATGGGCGCGGTGGGGGAGGGGCCTAGGAGGGCCTCCGGCCTTGGAGCTGGTCATCCTCTGCTCAAGCTGGCAGGCACTGCCCTAGGCCTGGAGGGACACTGGGAAGTCCGCCAGTGGAGAGGGAAGAGTCGGAAAGGGGCGTGAGAGGAACCTGGAGGGGCTGCAAGGTCTGTGGTTCAAGGCCAGAGCTCCTCTGTGACTTCAGGAATGTATAAGTTTTTCAAACTTAGTTTCCTTAGATATAAAACAGATCAACAGAACTGTGCTTTCCTCAAAGAGTTGCTGGGATGAAACAATGAGATAAAGGATTATTCTGCCTTCAAAAATGGCAGGGGGCTGGGGATGTAGCTCAGTTGGTAGAGTGCTTGCCTCAGATGCACAAGGCCCTGGGTTCCATCCCAGCACCGCCAAAAAAGAAATAAATAAAAATGGCAGCTGAGGGGTCGGGTGTGTAGCTCATGGCAGAGGGTTGCTTAGCATGCGTGGGCCCTGGGTTTGATCCCAGCACCAAGAAAAAATGTGGCTAGTATTATTTCCCCAACATAATAAATGTCTTTCTTTGGCATACAAAATGACCTTTACATTGATGTAACACTTTAAAAAACATTTTTTTGGAACTTAGGTTCACAGTTGAGATACAAAGTAGGAATCAGTGTTAGTTTCCTGTAGCTGCTATAACAAACTACGTAATATTTGTGGCTTAGAACAGTAGAGAATATTCTCTCTCATAGTTCTGGATGCAGAAGGTCCAATATCAAGTTGTTGCAGGTTGGTTCCTACTAGAGGCTCTGACAACCTATTCCACACCTCTCCTCCAACTTCCAGTGGCTGCCAGCAACCCTTAGCCTGCCTTGGCTTAGTCACATTAACCTGTGACCGTCTTCATGTGGCCTCTCTGTGTTTTCTCCTCCTCACTTTTTGTTTCTTCTCCTTCTTTTTATTTATTTATTGATCGATTTGGTACCAGGAATTGAACCCAAGGGCTCTTAACTACTGAGCCACATCCCCAGACTTATTATTTTGAGACAGGATCTCATTAGGTTGCTTATAGCCTAAGTAAGCAACCTAAAATTTGAGACGGGCTTCAAATTTGCGATCCTCCTGCCTCAGCCTCCCAAGCTGCTGAAATTACAGGTGTGCACCATTGTACCCAGCTTCACTTTTCTTATAATGTTGGGTTTAGGGCCCCTCCTAATCCAGAATGGTCTGATCTCAAAATCCTTAGCTTAATTCCACCTGCAAAGATCCTTTTTCCAAATAGGGCCTCCCACATCCACAGGTTCTAGGCGTGTTTTTATCCTTTTTTCCCCCTTTTGGTACTGGGGACTGAACCCAGGGGTGTTCTACCACTGAACTATACACCAGTCCTCATTTTAAATTTTGGGACAGGGTCTTACTGTTGCCGAGGCTGCTCAGACTTGCCATCGTCCTGCCTCAGACTCCCAAGTTGCTAGGATTGCAGGTGTGTGCCCCCATGCCAGCACTCAGTGGCCTTACCCCTAGGGAGCACCAGTCACCCCACTAGGTATTTCTCTATTTCTTCACGTAGTGACCAGATTTCTCTGACCTCACCTGTTAAATAGCCCTTGCTTCCCTACTGATTTGGGAAGTCCCTCTTTGGGTACCAAGCTCCCATCTTGGCCTCCATCGGGCTCTGCTTTCTATTCCATTTTTCTGTTATTTCTGCCACTGCCACACTGTTTCACTACTGGGATTTTGTAACATACCTTAAAATCTGGTAGACAATCCACATCTTGGCTCTGAGGACCTTGATTTTTCCTTACCATATTAGTACCCGTTTGAATCCGCCAACCTGCTGGAAAAAAAAAATCCCCCAGGATTTTGATTGGAACTCTAATGACTTTATAGATCAATATAGAAGCAATTGACATTTTGGGGGGTACTAGGGATTGAATTCAGGGTTCTCGACCACTGAGCCACATCCCCAGCCCTATTTTGTATCTTATTTAGAGACAGGGTCTCACTGAATTGCTTAGTGCCTCACTTTTGCTGAGGCTGGCTTTGAACTCCTGATCCTCCTGCCTCAGCCTCCCCAGCCGCTAGGATTACAGGTGTGCACCATGGCGCCCAGCATAACTGACATTTCAAAGACATTAAACCAGTCCATTCATGAGTTGGTCGTGTCCTTCCATTTATGGCAGGACATAAAATGTTGGCCAGAGAGGCTTCGTGTACTCTTTTGGGGGTGCCTAAAGAGGGACCGGCACTCCACAGTTTACAAATTCTCTTCATCCCCCATCCCCTCCCCTTGGAGCCCTGTGACTTGTATTTTACAGAAAAGGGAACTGAGGCTGAGAAGGGGAAGGAACCCTCCCAAGGACACGGTGGTGACAAGTTGAGACCCAGGCCCCAGCCCAGACCCTAGTGTGCACACCAGGCACCCGCTCCTTGCCCCTGAACCGGGCATGCGCCTCAGTGGACGGATGGCTCAATTGCTCACGACAAAGCCAGGCAGGAGAGGCGGCCAGGGCTGGCCCACATCAGATCACTTTATTTTAAGATCTGCACGAAGACGGACGCGGCGTAGATATAGAGAAGGACTACGAGGACGCAGGAGGCCTTGACCTGCTGGGCCAGGGCCTGCCTGGATGACCACCTGGCGGCCCTGCGGCTCGGCCTGCTGCTCTGGAACCTGGTGCTGAGGGGTATGTTGGTCGCCCCAAAACCACAGCCTCCTTCTCCCTGCCTGGTGTTTGTGTCCCCATTCACAACGCACAGGCTGATGGAGGCTGACGGCAGCTTGCTCAGCGAGGCTGGGTCAGGCCCAGGGAAACGCTGGCTGAAAGGGACCCTGGTGGCAGGGAGGCTGGTGGTGACGGCATCTAGATCTTTGGAGCCTGCCCAGCACAGCCTGGCTGGCCCCAGGAGTTTCAGGCCACCACCCCGAACGGCCCGGGCCACCCACGCTGCAGCAGCCCACATCCTGTCCTGGCAGCGGGCCAGCAGGGCCATGACCATGGGCTGCAGCACCACCCGCAGCAGCAGCTCCAAGGCCTTGCCGCTCTCGTGCTGGGAGTCGACCAGGCTGTAGAAGGCCCACTGCGCCATGGAGAAGAGGGTCAGGCTGGCCTCCCACTGCAGGTGCCGCAGGAGGTGCAGGGTGCCTTGGCAGGTTCTGCGGATCAGCGTGGAGAGCAGTCGGAGACTCCAGATCCTGGCGATGGTCAGGCGTCGCCACAGGATCCGCTGCACGGGCAGCAGCCTCTCCATGCACAGCCTGTGGACCAGGATGAAGGTGAGCGCCCCTGCCACCGGCAGGCTGCTACACCACAGGAGGCAGAGGCCCAGGATGGAGACAGAGACGCAGAGCGAGGCCGGGCTGGTCATCTGTGCCTGCAGCGCCAGGAGGGGCACATAGAAGTTCGCCAGGCCCAAGCTGAGCAGGAGCAGGAGCAGGAGCAGGAGCTGCCAGATTCTCCTGCCTGCCCTGCCCCCTAGGGCCTCTCCCCCACAGCTGGTGGCGGAGGAGCAGGGTGAGGGGCTTTCATAACCTGGAGGCTCTGGGTCCAGGCTCCTGCCCCTGCGGAATGGGGCTGCACTCATACCACAAGCCCATATTAACTGACCTCGGCTTCAAGCGCCCTGCCTGTCAATTGGGCTGAGTGGTTTTGCAACAATCAATGACAGCACAAAGATGCGGGTGGGAGCTCCTGTCAAGAGGGGCATTGTTGCTTCACGGGTGAGGCAGGCTGCCATAGGGAGTGTTGGGGTGTCCGTGTCCATTCCTCTCCTGACAAACGTGACTCCGCGAGGCGATGACCTTCCTCACTCAGCTCCTCTGTGGCCCTCCGGGTCTCTCCATTCCCGTCCTCCATGGGTCCTGTGAACCTTCTAGTGCAGCTGAAGCACACACCTCTGGTTTTACCTGGCAGCAGAGAACCTCCGTCCTACAGGTATTAGAGCCAAACCCTGGACCTTTCCCACTGCTTGCAAGAAGCTCCTTTTTGAAAAACAGTACTGATGGAAGATCACAGCAAACAGTCGATCCATTTCTTTCCAGACTTTGGATTTCGCTTTTGAATTAAGTTAGCAATCAGCAATCACGCAACCCAAGTGCCTTGTTAGGGATTGAGAGGTTGCCGTGAGCTCTTTGGTCTGGGCTGAGTGTGCACAGCCTCTCTGCGTCACTTGGAGGTATTCCGGGGATCATCAGCTGAATCCCACTCTGGCTCCTTTAGTAGGAAACCCCCTGCCCAGGAGAAAAATCTAAAACCCTTGGAGCCTGGCGTAGTGGTGCACATTTGTAATCCATCCCAGTGACTCACGAGGCTGAGGCAGGAGGATTGTGGGTTCAAAGCCAGCTCCAGCAAAAGCAAGGCACTAAGCAACTCAGTGAGACCTTGTCTCTAAATAAAATGCAAAGTAGGGCTGGGGATGTAGCTCAGTGGTTGAGTGCCCCCGAGTTCAATCCCCAATAACAAACAAAACAAACAAACAAACAAACACTAAAGCCTTATTTCAGGCACAGTGGACTCCTTTGGCTCTTTGTTCGTTTTCATCATGAGGATGATGTGAATCACGTTAGTAATGTTCATTTTTGGTTTGGCTACATGGAAGTTCAGAACTGAACGGCAGGGCGATTTACCTCTGGCACAAACACAGAGATCTCTTGATTTTGAAAATGTATATTCTGAATGTGATCCTACATCTCGATGGATCTCTCTTTCTGTCTGTCTCTGAAGGAATCCAGCAGCACTCTGCCATTAAGCTATACCTTGGCCCCTTTTATTTTGAGACAGAGTTTCCCTAAGTTAATAAGCCCTCAGACTTTCAATCCTCGTGCCTCAGCCTCCTGAGTCGCTGGGATCATAGGCATGGCCACAACGCTGTGCAACTTTTTTTCTTTTCCTTCTTTGGCAGTAGTGAGGATGGAACCCAGGGTATGCACATACTAGGCAAGTGTGCCACCCCTGAGCTACACCCCCAAAACCTGATGGGTTGCATACATCTTGGTAAGTAGCATTAAACCTGTTCTTTTTTATTTTATTTTTTTAAGTTCTAGGTGAACAAATACCTTTATTTATTTAGTTTTACTGGTGCTGAAGATCGAACCCAGTGCATCACACATGCTAAGCGCTCTGCCACTGAGCTACAGCCCTAGCCCCCTTTTTTATTTTGAGACAAGATTTCAAGTTGCCCAGGCTAACCTCCAACTTGTGATCCTCCTGCCTCAGCTTCCCAAGTAGCTTGGATTACAGGTGTGCACCACCACGCCTGGCTCTTCTTAAACCTGAACATTCCACTTTTTGAGACAGGGTCTTGCTATATTGTCCAGGTTGGTCTTGAACTTCTGGGCTCAAGTGATTCTTCAGCCTCAGCCTCCCTAGGAGCTGGGACCATAGGCATGTGCCACCACACTAATGATGGGGGTGTTCTTGGTTCCCAAGTCAGACATGGTGAAAATCCAAAACTAGAATCAGATAGACTTGAGCTCCAACCTTCATTAATTGTGTGACTTTTGTCAAGTTATCAATATCTTGGCCTTAAGCTTAATTTTCTCTGTAAAAAGGGAATAATATCTCAACACAAAAAGAAAACCAAAAAACTTCTTAAATAATTTGGCAGCAAAAACTAAATTAACCTGAAATTATTAGGCAGCGTTGTTGTGGAACTTGAGGAAACACCTGGTTCTTGGGAAGATCTGGAGAGCAGGACCCGAGGTCATGGGACAAACGTGAGGCTATTTGTATTTTCTCCTGCTATGTGTGACTGTCATCCCTCCCATCTGCAGTTTTGCTTTCCAAGGTTTGTAATCTGCAGTTTGAAAATATTAAATGGAGGGCTGGGGATGTGGCTCAAGCGGTAGCGCGATCGCCTGGCATGCACGCAGCCCGGGTTCGATCCTCAGCACCACATACCAACAAAGATGTTGTGTCCGCCGAGAACTAAAAAAAATAAATATTAAAAATTCTCTCTCCCCTCTCTCTCTCTCTCCTCTCAAAAAAAAAAATTCTCTTCTTAAAAAAAAAAAAAAGAAAATATTAAATGGAAAATTTCAGAAATATACAATAAGATTTTGTTGTTGTTGTTTTGGTGCTGGGTACTGAATTCAGAGCGTTGTGTATGTTAAAGCACATGCTTTACCAATAAGATATACTGCCAGCACTAAAAATTCATAAGTTTTTTTAATTTTTTTTTTCCTTTAGATTTTATTAAATCATAAATGTACAACAGCTTCTTAACTCTACACATGGGGCTGGGGATGTGGCTCAAACAGTAGTGCGCTTGCCTGGCATGCGTGCGGCCCGGGTTCGATCCTCAGCACCACATACAAACAAAGATGTTGTGTCCTCTGAAAACTAAAAAATAAATATTAAAAATTCTTTCTCTCTCTCTTTCTCTTAAAAAAAAACCAAAAAACTCTACATATGCACTTAAATTTTTTAAAGGAAAACATTATGTCTTAGTACATCATGATCCTGGCTAATAGCTTTTCAAAACTTTGAGAAAAATCTTAAAGTTTTCACATGTCACCTGAAACTTACAAATTTAACATATCAAAGAAGGAATGCTTCTACACTCTTACAAAGACCGCTAGAAAGAAACAACAATTAAAAAGCTAAGAAACTGTCTCAAAGGCTTTCATTATTTTTATTTTTTACAATCCTTCCCCCACAGTAAGGTAATGTTATTAAATAATCTAATCCATTTCCAAAATGGCTCTCTGCATCTGCTCTGGTGCCTTCTGCCATATCATTGCATATTTATGTATGACTGAGATAAGAATTTCCTTAACACTGTTATTTCGATAGGGCTCTCATCCTCGCCTATTTATACAATGAAGCTCAAGGCAAATAGGATGAAGCTCAGTATCGGCTCCTCCCACCATAACCCTCACTTCCTCCAGGACCATAATTTCCTCTACCACGTGGTCACCCATGTTTCTGCCACCCAAGTTTCCACTCTTCATTAGACTATATTTAGAAGGTTGCTGGTTATAATTTCCAAAATCATTATAACTTCCACTTCCATAATTTCCTCCTCCGTAGTTGTCATAACCACCTCCATAGCCCCCACCCCGTTTCCATATCCAGATCCTCTACCACCATAGCCTCCTCTTCCTCCTCCATAACCAGGGCTATCTCCCAAATCACCACTTCCAGGTCCTCCTCCAGATCCATTAGAGCTATTCCCAAATCCACCTCCGCTTCCATATCCATCAGATCTTCCTCTAAAGTTGCCTCCTCTTCCACTCCTGGAACTTTGGACTTTTTGCATTTCTTGTCTAGACAAAGCCTTTCTCACTTCTGCATTATGACCATTGATGGTGTGGTATTTTTGCAATACCATTTTGTCCACAGGATCATGGTCATCAAAAGTAACAAAACCAAAGCCTCTTTTCTTTCCAGACTGCCTATCCATAATTATCTCAATGGTATCAATTTTCCCATATTCTTCAAAGTAATCTCTAAGGTGGTGTTCCTCGGTATCTGCCAACAAACAGCTTCTTCACAGTCACATGAGCCCCTGGTTTTCCAGATTCCTCTCTTGCTACAGCTTGTTTTGGCTCAACCACTCTCCCATCAATGGAAGGAGGTCTTGCAGAGATGGCAGCATTAACCTCAGCCTTGGATGAGAAGGTTACAAATCCAAATCCTCTTCATCTTTTGCTTGCAGAATCCCTCATAACCACACAATCTAAGTTTTTCCCATTGCTCGAAGTAGTTTCTTAAACTTTCTTCTGTGGTTTTAAAACTTAAGCCACCAATAAAGAGTTTAGGGAACTGTACCTTTTCTCTCTCCATCACCGACTCAGTCGCTTCAGCCCCATTTCCAGCAGGCAAGTGAGATAAGAAAGACAAATGCAAACCGGACTCGTCCTGGCGCTGTACTGAGAACTGCTGCTGAAGAGCACCTCCACACAGGACCGGGGCTGCCGCTGCTTTTCTAGAACCTTCCTCCGACTAACTCCAATTTACTTTTAAAATGGACTTGGTTCTTTCTTTTCTTCTCTCTCCCAGCTCCTCCCTAATCTCTACCCTCCCTAATCTCAGGGGAAATGGGATTCAAAAACTGATAAGTTTTAAGTGGTCTTTACTATGGTGTATATATAGCACACGCTGGCGCGCATACACACACACACACACACACACACACTTTTTTTTTTTCCCCCTGCTATTTACCCAAATAACAAGACTGGGGATTGAACCACCCATGGGGGCTCTACCACTGAACTAAAATCCAAATGCTTTTTATTTTTTGAGACAGGATCTCAATAAGCTGCCCAGGCTGGCCTCAAGCTTGTGATCCTCCTGCACCAGCCTCTGAGGGCACCATAGGTGCTCCCCACCTCCCGAAGCAATAGTTGTTCTATTATATTATTGCTATAGTTGATAATCTCACAATGCTCAATTGATGTTAAACTTTACCAAAGGGATGTGTGTTTGTGTATATGTGTGTGTGTGTGTATCATATACAGATGAAAAACATGGTGTATGCAGCATTCAATGCTATCTGCAACCTCAGACAAGGGAGAGGAATGTCTTGGAATATATCTCCCTCAGATAAAAAGCAACTATAGGGAGTCACATTTCTCTGTAGAAATGCTAACGTGTCTCAGTCAAGAGGGCAGAGAGGATAGATAACACAGTACACAGTATGTGCATCATATTAACTTTCTTTTTCCCCTGGGTACTGAACCCAGGGGCACTGGCTGGCTTTGAACTCGAGATCCTCCTGCCTCGGCCTCCCTCAGCCTCTGCAGTCTAGGATTATAGGCATGCGCCATCTCGCCTGGCCTCATGTTTCCTTTCCAAAGATCCAAAATGTGCTGGATTTCAAAACACCACTGACTCCAACGATTTCCAGTAATAGATTGTGGACCTATCAAATGCTGCCTCTCAGGGACGCTGTGAGGGTTAAATGAGAGAATGGTTTTCACCCCACCGTGGGTGCCAAGGCCGTGCCCAGGACCACGATGCCCGGGTGGGAGGGAGGAGGTCGGGGCACGAGCGAGGCCAGGCGGCAGCCTCGCGGGTAATGCGGAACCCGAGGAAACCTCAGGTTCCGGGGAAGATCTGGAGGGCAGGACCCGAGGTCGTGGCGCGGGCTCGGGACGCGGAACCCTGCAGCTGGACACCAGAACGACCGAGGCAGGGCTGGAGGGAGCTCGCGAAAGCCGTGCAACTAGCTCACCCCAACGAGCTGCTTCTTCAACTCCGAAACAAAATGGCAACAACGCCCATGTGGTTAGGCTTAAAACTGGCTACCACACGTGAAAGAAGCCTACAGCGGGGTTATTCAACCCCCGACGACTACAGCCATTTTTCTCTCTCATAAAGTTTGGCTGCTGCAGAACACCGTAGACCTGTCGCAGTCCGCGCGGTCACCCAGCGTTTCAGTATCTTTTTAATAAGTCTGAACTCTTCCGCTCGCCGTAGGGCCTCTAAGTAGATTCTTTTTTTTTTTTTTTTCCTGAAACACGCGTCCTCTCAGAATTTACGCTAGGTGTGGGAAAGCGTGCGTGGAAATGGCGCCCCATACGCCCCTCCGACCCGACGTCCGCCGCGGGCGCGCGCTCGCACGCCGGAAGGGGCGGAGTCAAGAGGCTCTTTATATATCGTGTACCAAGACCCAATCGGCCTCTACCGGCGGGATTTGGCGGCGCGATGGTGAGTTCCTTAATGGCGTCTTTCTTCTTGGCTTCAAAGTCGGCGTGGTGGAATCTGCCGCGCATCGTCGCCATCTCGGCTTGGCCGGTCCCGGGAGCTCGTTCTGGGAGCGCAGGGGATACAGTAGGGACTGCAGTGAGGCCTATTTTTCTGGAAACTCGCGAGGCCTGTGGGGAAGGGAGTTATGGAGGAATACCCTGGGATTTCAAGTCGGCCACCGAGCGGCCTTGGGGCGAAAGCTGGCCTGGACGCCCAATTGAAGCCGTAGATGGTTTCTGGGCTCCGACCTCGCCAGATTTTAGCGATAGTTGTTATTAATCCTCAAGAGCAATTTCCCGGGCCAGGAGGGTCTTGAGTGGGACGCCCGGTGTTCTGGTAAACGGGGGCCGGCGCATGCGCGAGGGGAGACTATTGGCAAGAGTTTTAAAGGGTCCCTTTGAAAATTCCTTGGTGCAACTTGAAGGCCTCTAGACTCGCCAGAAACCTCACATGATGAACTTATTGACGGGCGGACAGAATCTGTGTGCTGATTGTCATGTTCTGATATGGCTCTGTGAGTCCTGTTGGCCTGCTGTGTACCACGCTGGCTCTGTCCCAGGGGCCGGAGAGTACTATGGTACCATTATTAGTGACCAGCTATTGTCCCATGAGTCGCTTCACTGGTGAGAATCATGGTGACAAATCATCTGTTAACACGGTTTTTAATATTCTAGTTCTCTTAGAGCACATTGGATGACTTTGTTTCTTGTAGAAATAGTTCCCAATCAACATTCAGAAGGAGGCAGTGTGTTGTGGGTGATCCTGGCCTTGCTGGGTGTCTAGTTGAGAGTCAACATTGTGGAATGAGTGTGCTGGGGCATATTTGTAATCCCAGCCACCCTGGAGGCTGACACAGGTATATTTTATTTTTTTTCCCCAGTCTCACAGGAAGTTCTCCGCTCCCAGACATGGATCCTTAGGCTTCTTGCCTCGAAAGCGTAGCAGCAGGCATCGAGGGAAGGTGAAGAGCTTCCCAAAGGATGACCCTTCAAAGCCTGTCCACCTCACAGCCTTTCTGGGCTACAAGGCTGGCATGACTCACATCGTCCGGGAAGTTGATAGGCCAGGATCCA